CCCTCAGGAGCCGGGACGTGGAACTGGACGGAAATTAAACACATCCCTGTAGGGAAATAAATACAGCGCTGTACCGAAACACACCACAGAGTCAGAGAATAGTCAAGGATGCAAGAGACCTTTAGGATCATTCAGCTTAACCCTTCCCTTAGTATCAAGACCGTAATCCTGAAACCAGCCCCAAACACCTCCGGGATGGGGACTCCACCACCTCCCTGGGCAGCCCCTTCCAGTGTCTGACCACCCTTTCAGTGAAGACGTTTTTTCTGATGTCTAATCTGAACCTCCCCTGTCTCAAATAAGGCCATTCCTCCGCTCCTCTCTCTGCAGGCACGGCAGAATAGCCCGACTCCACCTCACTACAATGTCCTGTCAGGGGGTTGACAGAAGGTCCCTCCTGAGCCTCCTTTTCTCCAGGCTGAGCCCCCCCAGCTCCCTCAGCCCCTCCTGCTGCTCCAGACCCGTCCCAGCTCCATTTCCTTCCCTGCACACGCTCCAGACCCTCCATGTCCTTCCTGAATTGAGGGGCCCAGAACTGGACATACGATTTGAGGTGTGGCCACACCAGTGCCAGCACAGGGGACAGTCACTGTCCTGGTCCCACTGGCCATCCTGGCCATCCAAGCCAGGATGACAATGATCTTGTTGCCCACCTGTGCTCATGCTCATCTGCTCTTACCAGCACCCCCAATCCCAGTTCTGCCAGCAGCCACTCCACCCCATTCCTTCACAGAAATACATCCCTTTACAGAAATAAATCCCTTTATTTATTTATCCCGTCAGGTCCCATGTCCAATGCGTACAGAGCTTGTGGCTGGGGAAGGAGAAAGGACCACCAGAATGGTGCCTCCTGCCCAACCAACACTGCACAACTGCCTGAGGGGGTACAAAAATACGTGTTCTTCACAAACAGCACACAGAACACTGTGGTTCTGCATCCCTGTGCCCAGGGTTCTCCTCCACTCATCCGTGCAAAGCACGGTGCTGATGTGACCACGTGTGGTTATTCACCAGCAATCCAGGGGCCTGGGATGGATCCTCCGAAGGGAAGCACAGACGGGCTGGAACGGCTCCTCCATGGCCGTGCCGGTGGCAGGGAGGGAGCCGGCCCCACACTGCCCCGTTCAGCCAGGCTGTCCCAGCCCAGCCCAGTTCAGCCCCACAGGCTGTCCCAGCACAGCCCAGTTCAGCCCCACAGGCTGTCCCAGCCCAGCCC